TAAAAGTACATTTCAGTTTACCGGATATTCCTGAGCCTACAATTCCTATTGATGTTCCCTATCCAGCTGAGAACACTTGCACCACCTTCTCTTTTAAAAATGTCTCTTCTACCAAGGTRAAAGAAACTATTATGAACATGCCATCAAACAAGGCTCCTGGACATGACAAAGTTAACATGAAAATCATCAAGACATGTCTACCGCATATTCTTCCTGTCGTGACTGATTTGATTAATAGTTCTCTGCTAGAAGGTTGTTTTCCAAAGGTCTGGAAACTGGCAGAAGTGGTCCCTCATGTAAAAGAAGGAGATCATGAAGTTGCAAGCAACAATCGACCCATTTCTTTGCTGCCAGTTTTGTCAAAAGTGTTAGAGCGTATCGTCCATGACCAATTTGTTCAATACCTGACCTCTAACAATAAGCTTTCTACTCATCAAAGCGGGAACAAAAGGTTTCATTCAACGGAAACCCTTGGTGTTCTATTTACCAGCCAGCTATATAAAGCCATCAATGAACGCAAGTTGACCGCTACACTGCTTTTAGACCTAAGCAAAGCTTTTGACAGCATACAACATGATATGCTGTTGAAGAAACTTCACATCTCGGGCGTTTCTGATGATGCCTTAAACTGGTTTGCCWGTTATCTGACAGGAAGAGAACAACGCACCCGTGTTAACAACTCGTTATCCGACACGCTAACAGTGAAGCACGGGGYCCCACAGGGCTCTATACTGGGGCCGCTGTTGTTTAACCTCTACATCAATGACTTGCCGTCTGTTTGTGCACACCGTAAAGTGGAATCCTATATTGATGACTCAAAATTATACGTTTCCTTTTTTAACAAGGACATAGACAGTGCCATGGGAAATTTGCAAAGTGACTTAACACGCATTGCATCCTGGTGTTGCGCCAACCGACTTCTAATCAACCCTACCAAGACAAAGTTCTGTGTCTTTGGATCCTYACAAATGTTAAAGCGCACCACTGTACCTTCTATAATGTTCCTGGGAAAAGAACTATTTGCTGTAGACTCAGTTAAAGACTTGGGTGTTATACTTGACAACCATCTTTCATTTAATGAACACATTAGTACCTTAGTTTCTGACTTAATTAGTAAATTATGTATGATCAACAGGATCCGTCACCTTTCGGTTAGTAAATTATGTATGATCAACAGGATCCGTCACCTTTCGGATCAAGCTACTCTTTTATTAGTTATAAACAGCCTAGTTTTTTCTAAACTTTTTTAATAATTGCTCATCTGTCTTGTCAGGCACAAGTAAATTTAACGTAAATAAATTGCAGCTAGTTCAAAACTTTGCTGCTCGTATAATGTCTGGAAAACGAAAGTACGATCATATAACTCCAACATTGAAACAATTAAAATTTTTGCCAATATCTMAACTTCTATACCTTAGAGACGCTGTTCYCATGTTTAAATGTATGAAGGGTTTAGCTCCCGAGTACTTGTCGTCTATGYTTACCTTAAGATCTGAGATTCATAATCGAAGCACACGAAACAGTGACAAGCTACAGATTCCTATGTGTAGAACTAAGTTAGCTCAACAGTCGTTCTCTTATAGAGCCGTTGATATTTGGAACTCTGTACCCAAAAGTATTACTAAGATAAATTCAGTCAAACTTTTTAAAAACACCCTTAAAAGTAGTTTTTTAACCGAATGGTTAGCTAATTAGCTCTAAGTATTTATTTATTTTTATTCTTAGTATTTATTTTTGTAAATATTAATTTTTCTTATTCTAGGTTTAAGACTTTTTGTAAATTGTATCTGAAAAGCCCTCTTTAGGGAGATCAATAAAGTTATTGTATTGTATTGTACTGTACTGTGACCGTGAGTGGACTGGTGATTAGCCGGTATGTACGCGGGCTCATAGTCTGTGTTTTGGCGCCTAATGTTGTTATTCACTGGTAACCGTTAACCGTTTCTTGTAGAGAAAAATACCGTATAATCTCTGTTCAAAAGACGTTTTTATGAGCTTTGGAAGCTGAATTTGCAAAGCAAGAGTTTGATATCGTACAGTGGGTTCAATTTTTACTTTCCTCGATTGCAAAATCGGTGACTGATCATGAGGACATGGATTGAATCACTATCAGGCATGTAACGTTGATACTCTTATTTTGCTTTTCACTTTTTATTCAAATTCAATTTATTTTGGAGTTAACTGGCTGGAATCTTGCTCTTCGTGGCTTTAAACATTGTAATATGGTTTGTCAATGAAGTTGAATGCCTGGCTAACTTTTCGAAAGCGTGAAACAACATTAATTTTATGTTTCGAAATACGACTTGAATCGTTAATACGTTTTGTTTGAGTTCAGAATTTGGGGATTAAGGTGACTGCCTACTTTTGGAAATTGATTTAAACTTTTTTT